AATAAAATATTAACACTTCATACATTCAAATCATTAATTCTAAAAGTGGTTGCAAGAGCAAAAATATTTATCTCTTTTCAAATAAACATACCTGAAAGACTGCAAAAGAATTCACGAACATGCCTAAATAATATCCCATGTTATAAAGTCCCAATTCCTGGACCACCTAAGGAGAAGATAAAATATATGGAATGGATCAATTCATACCAACTGTTCTGTGCTGGGCAATATTTCTTATATATACTAGTAATTTAGATAAGACACAGCCCACATACTTACCAAATTTGAAAATGACACAAATGGAGAAATAATGAGTATGTAGATGTCTTGCTCATGATTCATTCAGTCAAAATTACATTTCTTATTAAATTTGTTTTTACTCTGTTTAGCAATCAAGAGTTCCTAAGAATTACGGACTTGAGTTTTGCCCAAGAGGAATTGAAATGTCTACTCCTGACAAGACCAACACATAGAGGTCAGCATTAAAATGACCAATATGTTTGGCAGAGATAAGCTAAATTCAATGGTTAAACTAAGTTCTGCAAAATATCAGTTAAATTTTTAAAAAATAATACAAAGAGAAAATTCACAAATGATGAAATACAAATTATTAATAAGCAGAAAACATAGTCAACTTCATTGATAATCAAAGCAATGCAAATTACAACATTGATGAGATAGTTTTTGCAGAGATATTTGCATGTATCACATTCGCAATGTTACTTTTTAAGAGCAGTATTCACTGCTAGCAAGAGTGAGTAAAATTGGCAGTTTCTAAAATAGTTAAACACAGAATTAGACTATGGCCTGGCAATTACACTCCTATGTATGTACCCAAAAGAACTGAAAACAGAGATTCAAAGAGATCTTGTATGCCAATGTTCATTGCAGCATTTAGTTACAATAGCCAAAAGGTACAAACAACCTAAGCATCCATCAACAGAAGAATACATGAACAAGATGTGGTACATGCATACAACAGAATATTATTCAGCCGACAAAACATAGTTTTGATACAAGCTACAATATGGAGGAACCTTGAAGACATTATGTTAAGTGAAATAAGGTAGACTGAAAAGGACAAATATTAAATGACTAAGTGGCCCGGTGGACGAATTTGTGCACATTGAAGGGAAATTAATTAGAAGAAATATTTTAATATCGCTATTCGCCCTTTCTCAATAATAGACATGTCAACCAAATTCACGATTGACAATGACAGATCAAAACACATGCATGCGATTGGAGCCAGCAAGACCTCGCATGTGCAAGTCAACTTAGCTATAGATAGATAGATGCTAGGTAGGTAGGTAGGTAGGTAGGTAGATAGGTAGGCA